GCTTAGGAAAGAGGAGACTAAGGGGGGATCAGATGATAGGCATGGAGAAAGTGAATAAGGAAATGTTATTTGCTTGTTCCCATAACATAAGAACTAGGAGCCACCAAATGAAATGAAGAGGTAGCAGGTTTAAAACAAACAAAAGGATTTCTTCATGCAGTGCAGTTAACCTGTGGAACTCCTTGCCAGAGGATGTTGTGGAGACCAGGATTTTAACATAGTTCGAAAAAGAACTGGATACATTCATGGGGGCTAGGTCCATCAATACTTATTAGCCAGGCTGAGTGTCCCTACCATCTGTATGTCAGAGGCTGGGAATGGGCGACAGGGGAGGGATCACTGGATGGTTCCCTGTTCTGTTCCCTACCTTTGGGGCACCTGGCCTAGGCCACTGTGGGCAGACAGGCCCCTGGGCTGAATGGATCTTTGGTGTGACCCAGCCTGGCCGTTCTGGTGTTCGTATGGGGGGTGACACAGGCCTGGTCTCCGTGGTAACATTACGTATTACAGCGCTGGCCGGGGTGTGAAAAATCCACATCCCTGAGTGACATTGCTAAGTCGACTCAAATTCCTGTGTGGACTGGAACGGGGGGGAAGAATCTCCCGTTGAGCTCCCCCTGCCTCCCAGGGAGGTGGGCTCCCTACGTTACCAGGAGAACCCCTCCCCGCGGTGTAGGCACCAGCACCAACCCATGGCCTCGTGCCGCGTGGTGTTCTGGATTCAGCCAGCGCCCGTCCTCTCGGTCCGGCTGCTGCTCTGAGCCGCAGAGGGCACCTGTCTGTCGCGCTGGGTCTCGGAAGGGATGGGGCTGATGCAGGGCTTGGCTAACGGGCTCTCGGAGATAGGGGGTGCACTGCGCAGGGAGGGGAATGGTGAGGCTCTTGTGAGACCCACACTGATTATTATTTGCACTCACGTAGAACTAGTGGCCCCAGCCCAGGTCGGGGTGACCGGCAGCTCCTGCCCCAATCCTGTGGGGAGCGGGGGGATGTGCAAAGGCAACCTGAGCACCTGCAGGCCTCTCGCACGGGGTGGGAGGAAAGAATTACTATTGTTGGCCTTTTGCTGCTGGGTACTGAGACCCAGAGGGAGCAAGGGAGTGAAAAAGGCTCATGAGAAAATGTGGCATTGATCTGGTCACTTTCCCTCCACCATAACACGCATACATGTGCATGCACAGACACGTGAATATGCACACATGCGCACACACACACATGCACGCACACGTGAATACACACATGTGCACACGTGAATACACACGTGCACGCGCACACACGGAAAAGGGAAGAAAATGTTTCCTAACCCTTAGAGCACTGGAGTATTCCAGACTGCCACCCTGCGAGCTGATTGCGAGGAGGGGCTGTGTACACAGCAGAGAACAGGCACAGGCCACAACGGGCAGGCCCCCTGAGCTGGCTTGTGTCCCCAAAGGCAGATGTTCCTCTTCGCGAGGTTTGACCAGAAGTTAAATGGACCGTGGCGTCTCTAGTCTCCTGGGGCGTCCCCCATGAGCTGTCGGAAGACAAACACCAGCTGGCTCAAGTGGTTGTTAATGTGGATTTCCTTATCGGGGGTGTTTTGCCTTAGCTTGATCTTTGCTGTTTAACACCCCCCAGAGGGATCACCTTACCCCACATTGAAATGCAACCGGCTCCTGGGCGGAGCGTGGTGCCTTTTAACAGCCCTCAGCAACACAACTCGAATCCATGCGAGTCTGGGCAGGAAGTGCAGAACCCCGCAGCCAGCTGTCCCTGAAGGAGGGATTTATGGAGCTGGAGCGGAGCTGCCCAGCCAGGAATTCAGCTGGGAGGGAGACACCGAATCCTTGCAAATCACGTGAAAACATCATCCAGCGCAACAAACTGTCCCACGCTGGAGCTGGACCAGGTGCACATGAAACAAATACCTGACGTGGCCCCTTTGCCTCTTTTGCAGGATCAATGCAAGGGCACTGGCAATTGCAGACGATTGGCAGGATAAATGCCACGTATGCGTCTTGCTCTGGGCCTTCTTCGCAGGGAGCCTTTGGCGTGCAGAATTCAAGCCGCTTTGCTGGACACTCGCTGCCATTTCTGGTCTATTGACGGATGAGCACAAGGCCGTAGGTACAAGCGTACACTCTAAGGCTACGTCTATATTGGCAAGATTTTGCGCAAAAGCAACTGATTTTGCACAAAATCTTGCCACCTGTCTACACTGGCCGCAAGTACTTGCACAAGAACACTGACGTTCTAATGTATAAAATCAGGGCTTCTTGCGCAAATACTCTGACGCTCCCGCTCAGGGATACGCCCTCTTGCGCGACTGTTCTTGCGCAAGAGGCCAGTGTAGACAGGCAAGTTAAACCCTGGCCTCTTGCGCAAGAACAGTCGCGCAAGAGGGCGTATCCCTGAGCGGGAGCGTCAGAGTATTTGCGCAAGAAGCCCTGATTTTATACATTAGAACGTCAGTGTTCTTGTGCAAGTACTTGCGGCCAGTGTAGACAGGTGGCAAGATTTTGTGCAAAATCAGTTGCTTTTGCGCAAAATCTTGCCAATATAGACATAGCCTAACTATGAGAGTAATCCTAGCACACTAGAGCTGGAGGGGGCCTCGCAAGGGCATCGAGCCAGTCCCCTGCCCTCATGGCAGGACCAAGCACCATCTAGACCATCCCAGGCAGGTGTCTTGCGGCCAGTGTAGACAGGTGGCAAGATTTTGTGCAAAATCAGTTGCTTTTGCGCAAAATCTTGCCAATATAGACATAGCCTAACTATGAGAGTAATCCTAGCACACTAGAGCTGGAGGGGGCCTCGCAAGGGCATCGAGCCAGTCCCCTGCCCTCATGGCAGGACCAAGCACCATCTAGACCATCCCAGGCAGGTGTCTGTCCAACCTGCTCTTCAATATCTCCAGGGATGGAGATTCCACAACCTCCCCCCCCCCAGGCAATTTATTCCTGACAGGTAGGAAGATTTTCCTAATGTCCAACCTAAACCTCCCTTGCTGCAATTTAATCCCATTGCTTCTTGTCCTGTGCTCAGAGGTGAAAATCAGCTCTTGGAACAATTTTCCAAGAGTCGTGGCAGATTCTCCATCACTGACAGTTTTTAAATCAAGACCAGCTGGCCTGAAGGATCTGCTCTAGGGGAGGTCTGGAGACGCCCTATGGGCCCTGTCACATAGAAGGTCGAACCTGATGATCCCCGTGTCCTGTCTCGCCTTGGACTCTGTGAATCTACGGAATGGTTTCTTTTACTGCAATCAATCGCCCCCATTGTGCAAGTCCGCCCTGCTGCGCACGCACGGGGTGAAACGCCATCGCCTGGTGGCACGGTGTCCCCCTGGGCGGCGCTGCAGTGAGAAATGCAGCTGGCTCTGGGGAGGTATCTCGGGGCGCTGCGCCCTGCCTGTAGGCTCAGTGCAGGGTGAGTTGTTTTCACAGTGGCTTGTGGGGTCCCCCAGGCTCCTGCTCCTTGACAGTTTGCTGCACTGGCAGAGGATCGTCCCCACCGGCAGCCTGGCTCTGCAGCACCTTCGTGGGAGGTGAACACCTGAAGAGACGCGGACGAAGGCAGAGCAGGTTTGTGTTCAAAATTCAAATCCACTCTCTGGGGTAGCTTGTTCGCACTGTTCCCCCAGCTCTCCTCCTGAGCCCAGGTGCCCGACTCCCCTAACAAACCGCACTGCCGGCAGCCCAGCACCGCCCCTAAGCAGTGACTCAGCACCCCCCCCATGACAGGACATGCACACCGGCAAGGGTGCCACTCATCCATCCCCGCCGAACTCTTCCTGGGAGGCCTCCCCTCTGAGCTCTAGCTAAGCCTGACCCGGCTTAGTTGTCACAGCCCAAGCTGCGGCGGCTTTGTGTTTAGATGAGCATTTCCCCCCAGCTCGGCCCAGTTCCGACACATGTGTCCTGTAATCCTAGCCAGGGCCTGGCTAAAGATTCTAGTTTAATTCAGCTACCAAAAGCCCCGTGCCATAGGCACCATCCACGCCAGTCGCCCAGGAGATTTAGTGCTTGGAGTAGGACTCAGGATGCGACTGCTGACTCGCTGTTTGGCCCTGGAACAGTCATGCGCACTTGCTCTGCCTCGCTTTCCCCATATGTACGACTAAGCGCGAGTTTTTGCGTTAGAGTATTTGAGTAAGAGAGCGTCTACACTGGAATGTGCTTTTGCGCAAAAGCATCCGTGCCAGCGTAGACGCTCTCTTGCGCAAGAAAGCTCCAATGGCCATTTTAGCTTGCTGTTGGCAGAGCTGCCTGTTTAACTGGAGGCACAATTTCAAACCCACGTCGGGGCACCAGTGCAAGAGGCTGTGTGGACGCGCATATTTCAATTGACATGCAGGTTACTCCTCTTTACCATAAACCAATTGGGAAGAAGTTGAAACTTGGCAGAAATGAGCCACTTGACCCAAAATAAGAGTATGCAGCGGCGGATATAGGGCAGGGCGAGCGGGGCGGCTGCCCCGGGTCCTGCGCTTCGATAGGTCCCGCACACACGCTACTACCTGTTGGCCGTGGCCATAGCGCATGCACAAAATTGCACTGCCCCGGGCCCCACGCTTCAATGGGCCCCGCAAAACTCTCCTCCGCCCCGAGAGTATGCACACAGCGATTGGCTCAATCTAACCAAACGGAGCAACTTTTCTGTGTAGACAAGACCTTAGTTTGTTTTCCATTCTGGGGCTACATCTAGATTGCAGGCTTCTTTCGGAAGAAACTTTTCCAGAAGAGATCTTCTGAAGAAACTTCTTCTGAAAGAGAGCATTCACCCAGCAAAAGTGCAACAAAAAAGTGATGTGCTTTTTCGAAAGATAGTGTCCACATGGATTGGATGCTCTCTCGCATTTTAGTTGTGATTATTATGGATGGAGCGGCCACCAGGGCACCTGTGCTTTTTCCTGGAGGCCTCTTCTTTAGAAAAAACACCTCTCATCCGCGTCCACACATGCCTTTTTTTGAAAAAAGGCTTCTTCCTCATAGAATGAGGTTTATCACCTTCAGAAAAACCCCTCCATTCTTTCGACAATCTGTTGAAAGAACACAATAGGAGTGTGGATGTAAGTACTGTTTTTCCAAAAAAACGGCTGTTTTTCTAGAAAAACTCTGCAGTGTAGACATACCCTGAGACCGGGGATATTTCTAGTGTCTCTGTAAAACTCTTGTGAGAGGAAGAAAAGAAAAGAAAAGAAAAGAAAAGAAAAGAAAAGGAGAGTTTTTCTGCTTATATTTAACATTAGAATTTCAAGCTTTCTGTATCCCTGGATGGATGACTAGAGAACCAACTGATTTATGGAATCACACGCAACAAGGAAGTGAAAACTGGTTAATTGAGAGCTGAAGGGGTTTTTACTCAGAAATTATTTACTTGGGTCACACTAACTCAAATGTCTAAAAAGCAGCCAGGAGAAAAGCTCTCCTTGTTAAAAATGAAGCACTCATCTCTAGGGCCCCGCTGTGCCTATATCCACAAGAATTAGGCACAGCTGTCCACATTGCCATTTGTGGGTATGGATCCCTCAGCTATAAAGGGAATATCCACAGGCTCTCAGGGTTCTAGATACAAAATTTGTACCCACCGAAACGAGCTGCAGATATCCACACCTTCATCTGTGGATGGCCACGGATTTGCGGGGTTCTATTCCTATCCCTTGGGTTAAAGGTGAAGAAAAGTCCCAAGTTGTATTTCTGAGTCAAATCAGTCCACTGCCCCCACAAGCAGGAAGACAAGGCTTACTATTCCTGGTATTCTTACAATAAAAAATAGGAAAAAATGACCAAGAAACCCCTGCCAGGCCTCCACTAGCCGCCTCAGGGAAGCAGCAGGTGCGAGGTCAGTGTCATGCGGAGGAGGGGGGATGCGGTGGCTTCTCCTACGGCTGAGGTGATGCAGCAGGCTGCTGATAACGCAAGGAGTTGCCGTTTTATCACGAGAACACAAGCATGGCCATTCTGGGTCAGACCAAAGGCCCATCCAGCCCGGCCAACGCCAGAGGCCCCCGTGGGAGTGAGCAGTCTAGGGAATCACCATGTGATCCCTGCCCTGTCTCCCATTCCCAGCCTCTGAGAAACGGGCTAGAGGCACCGTCCCTACCCAGCCTGGCTCATCACCACTGATGGACCGATCCTCCATGAACTTACCTAGCGGCTTTTTGAACCCTCTCACGAGAAGGCTCCTCTTTCCCCCTCCTCAACTCCCTGCCCAGCATGTGGGTCATTCACCCGGCCGCCCCCCGGCTTTTCCCGCCTGACAGTGACTCCTTAAGGAGGGCAGAGGGGAGCACGGATGCTCTGCCTGTTGGCTCTGAGGTGTCCCTGGGATAGGAGAGCTTGGGCAGATGGCTGGGAGGGTCTGGCCAGGCACCGAGGATACAGCTGATCATTTGCATTTGAAATTGACGAACCTTTGTGGGTGTTTCGCAGCCTCGGGAGCTACCGGGAAGGCTGCTCTGTTGTAGTTCTTTGGAGGCTGCTGTGGCCGGCTTGGCAGAGGAGAGACAGGCCTGTAAGAATCCCTCACTCCTATAGGCTTCCCAGTGTGACCGAGGGGACGTCCTTCCGGGCCGTGTTTTCAAAAGATCTGAGGTCTTGTCTACATGGTGTAGCAGCAGCACCATAGCTCTATGGCTGGGGCCCTGCAGCGTGGACACACACTTCAGCCACTTAAAAGAACCCCCCTCCCCAGACAATGGTAACGGGATGGATGGAAGAATTCTTCTGTCAGCCTAGCTGCCTCTGCCCCTGGGGATGGGGCTGCATAGCTAAATCGCCCAGGGATGTGGATTTTGCACAGTCTTGAGCGCTGGAGCTGCATCAGCATACGTTTTCAGTGTAGACCAGGCCTGAGTGGCTAGGGTGTTCCAAGGAGGAGGGAGAAAAATTGTTCTCCTTGGCCTCTGAGGATAGAACAAGAAGCATTAGGGTTAAACTGCAGCAAGGGAGGTTTAGGTTGGACATTAGGAAAAACTTCCTGCCTGTCAGGGTGGTTAAACACTGGAATAAATTGCCCAGGGGGGTTGTGGAATCACTGGAGAATTTTAAGAGCAGGTTAGACGAGCTCCTGTCTGGGATGATCTAGGTGGTGCTTGGTTATTATGTCGTCCTGCCTTGAATGCAGGGGACCTGACTCGATAACCTCTAGAGCTTCCTTCCAGGTCTGTGATTCTATGATTTGAACATGTAAACTAGGCTCCTCCGTCACTGTTTAAATGTTACTCTTGGCCTTGCTGCCCAAACTGGGTGGGGTTGCGACTTCTTTGGAGGATAGGGACATAATTCAAAATGACCTTAGCAAGTTAGAGAAATGGTCAGAGGTAAACAGGATGAGGTTTAATAAAGAGAAATGCAAAGTGCTCCACTTAGGAAGGACCAATCAGTTCCATACATACAAGATGGGAAGCGACTGTCTAGGAAGGAGCCTGGCGGAAAGGGATCTAGGGGTCATAGTGGACCACAAGTTGAATATGAGTCAACAGTGTGATGCTGTTGCAAAAAAAGCAAATATGATTCTAGGTTGTATCAACAGGTGTGTTGTAAGCAAAACCCGTGAAGTCATTCTGCCGCTCTACTCTGCACTAGTTAGGCCTCAGCTGGAGTACTGTGTCCAGTTCTGGGCGCCACATTTCAAGAAAGATGTGGAGAAATTGGAAAGGGTACAGAGAAGAGTGACAAGAATGATTAAAGGTTTAGAGAACATGACCTATGAAGCCAGGCTTCATGAACTGGGCTTGTTTAGTTTGGAAAAAAGAAGATTAAGGGGGGACATGATAGCGGTTTTCAAATATCTAAAAGGGTGTCACAAGGAGGAAGGAGAAAATTTGTTCCTCTTGGTTTCTGAGGACAGGACAAGGAGTAATGGGCTTAAAGTGCAGCAGGGGAGGTTTAGATTGGACATTAGGAAAAAATTCCTAACTGTCAGGGTGGTCAAACATTGGAATAAATTGCCAAGGGAGGTGGTGGAATCTCCCTCTCTGGAGATATTTAAGAACAGGTTAGATAGACATCTGTCAGGGATGGTGTAGGTGGAGCTTGGTCCTGCCTTGAGGGCGGGGGGCTGGACTCGATGACCTCTCGAGGTCCCTTCCAGTCCTATGATTCTATGATTCTATGAAAGCCCTCCCAGCACTTTGCAAAGGGAAGGGCGGTGTCATTGTGCCTCGTTTGCAGAAGGGGAAACCGAGGCACAGAGTGATCTGTTCAAGCAGGCCAATAGCAGAGCTGCCGCTCGTGAAACTTGACTAGATCGACACTAGCCCAGAGCAGGCAGGGGCTCTCTGAAACATCTCCGGCTAGAATCTGGCCTGTGAAAACAACCCCCCCCCCCACTGCCCAAGCTTCTTGTCCTTTGTGCTGGGGTTTATCCCATCTACTGCCCCCATCCTGCTGCACGTAATGTGCTGCTGTAGGGAAGTCAATGGGCACAACACTCAGCTTGCACATACGGGATCAGAGCCTCTCTCTCCCTGCTGGGGCGTCCATTTTCAGTGCCATTTTCAGTTTCTGGCAGCTGGGCACCTGTTGCTCACTCTTTGCTGGGACGTGTCTGTTGTGCTGAGCTCCCCAAAAGCCAGGCAGCTTTTGCACACTCTGCCTCAGTCCTTTGCAAAGCAAAACCAAAAACCTGGCTGTGTATGGCCAAGCAACAGCAGGTTCCCCCAGAATTCTTGCTTTCAGAGGAAATTGAGGGATCTTGTGCTACCCCCTAGTGGTGCTCTGCAAGATTGCCAGATACCATATTTAACAGCAAGGTGACAGCTGTGTTTCTAGCAAAGCACCAGGGTAGCACCTACCTGTTGTGGTGAGTTTTTGCATACACACGCTCCGATTCACTTTACTCACGTGAATCATTGGGTTTACTTCTGTAAGTAAAATTTAGCACATACACGACTAGGGCCTTGAGGTGAATTTTCAGGCTAAAATTGGCATTTTAATAATCCAGGTTAGGGTTAATTTTTAATATTATGTAATTCAATTTATTGTACAAAAATTGATCAGGCCTTTAAGCGTCATGTAGGTTATAAACTTCAATGGCCGTGACTGCTGTTGGAATTTGCACTCTGCCAAACTGGCGCTGAAATTAAAAGTATTAGCGAAATGAATAGCGCTTACTTCTGTGCTGCGGTTGTAAAATCCTCTCAGAACGGAGCAATGAAGAGAAACTCCAGTTTGTTTCACTGTTGTTTTTATTCACTTTTGAACCAGTTTCTCTGTTCCTGGATCAGCACAAGGGTCAGAAACAGAACCGGGAATCAGAAAAACTGTTCCCTCTGGCGTAGCCACGGACTCATTAGTGACGCTGGGAAAGGTCACTTGGGGTACGTCTACACTGCAGTGCTATTTGGGGATACCAGAGGTATCCCGAAATAGATACCCCGAGTCCAAGGAATGTTTCCGCTATTTCAAAATAATTTTTGAAATATTGGACATGCTATTTTGCCATCCCTCTAAACCTCGTTGCATGAGGAGTAAATGGATGGCTCAAAATAGCCCTTTATTTTGAAATGTGGCCCTGTGTAAATGCGCCACATTTCAAAATAGCCTCTTTTGAAATAAAATTGAATTTTCGAGTGCCTTGATCTCTCTGGGCACGACTACACCGCAGGGCGAAAGTTGAATTAAGCTACGCAACTTCAGCTATGGCAATTGCGTCACTGAAGTCGAAATAGCTTCACTCGTGACAGGATGCTGAAGGAAGCACACAATTCCTCCTGCGACTTCCCTTCCTTCGCATGGAATGAGGGTCAGAGGTGTCGGAGAAACAAAAGACAGGACTATGCAGCACTTTATAGACTAACAAGATGGTTTATTAGGTGATGAGCTTTCGTGGACCAGCCCGCTTCCTCAGATCAATTTGTGGAAGAAAATTGGCATGACCATATATACCAAAGGGATACAGTCAAAAAAAGTGAACACATATAAAATTGACAAATCAGATTTTAGAACAGAGGGGGGATGAGGGGGCAGGTTAGTGTCTATGAGATAATGATATTAGGGGTGATAATTGGGGAAGCTATCTTTGTAATGGGTAAGCTAATTAGCATCTTTGTTAAGGCCCATTGGTGAAGTGTCTGATTTAAGCATGAATACAGTTCTGAAGTCTGCTGTGACAGTCTCTTTGAAGCAGGATGCATGTGGCGAGGTCTTTGAGGCGATGCCCAGTCTGAGTGAAATGGCAAGAGCCTGTTTTTTCTTTGTGAAACTGTCTGATGTCTGGTTAGCGGGCATTGGCTCTTTGGCGAAGTGCCTGAGACGTCTGGTGACAGTCTCTTTGAAGCAGGATGCATGTGGCGAGGTCTTTGAGGCGATGCCCAGTCTGAGTGAAATGGCAAGAGCCTGTTTTTTCTTTGTGAAACTGTCTGATGTCTGGTTAGCGGGCATTGGCTCTTTGGCGAAGTGCCTGAGACGTCTGGCACGGGACGTGGCCTCCCACCGGCGTGATTTCCACACCAAGGCACGGGGGC